GCCACAACCAAATGACAGTTCAGAATTAAGTCATGGCTTGGTCTAGCCGCCTACTATGGCAAGTACGTACCTCATAGGCCAGCAAGGTTTCACCCTTGTACCGCCTACTCAGAAAAGGAGTCCACTTTGATTGGACGCCTTATGGTCAGGAAGCTTTTGACTCTGTCAAACAGCTCTCACCACTGCGCCCAGTCTTGGTTCTCCAGATGTGGATAAAGGACCATTCACGTTGCTTGTTTGCCAGCCTTACTGGCCTAGGAGCAGTCCTAACACAAGAACAGACGGCAATGAAAGTAAACAATAGCTTACTGGTCTAAAACATTAACCCCAGCACAGAGAAACTACTGTGTCACTCATAGGGAACTCCTAGCATTGGTAGAGTCAGTTAAAGCCTTCAATCATTATCTAGCAGGAGCACCCTTCATAGTAAAATCAGATCACGCAGCCCTACAGTGGCTTAAGAATTTCAAAAACCCTACTGGCATGTTAGCAAGATGGTTGGAAAAGTTGTCTCCATACAAGTTCACAGTCGTGCATGAAAAAGGCACTAACATCAGTCACGCAGATGCACTAAGTAGACGGCCAGACAGGCCATGTGAACCCAGCTGCAAAAAGTGCACAAAAATTGAAGCTAAAGACGCAACGGCTTACCTCATCAGCTCCACTCTTGTAGAAGGGTTAACGATCCAGGAAATCTTCACATCAGTACTTCAGGCCCCCAACACAGCACCAGTAGTTCACCCAATCAGCTTGGAAGGAAAGTTCTCCTCTCCACTGGCCAGACAAATTGAAGAGTGGTACCAAGTCAAAAGAGACTTCCACTCGAACACAGACAAAACATTCCCCGGGCTGTGCACCTACAACAGAAACAACAAAACAATCATTAGTCTCATTGTCAAGGAAAAGATGGAGCACAGACCACACGTCAATGATGTAGAAATAGCACTAAACATCCTTAAAGCTTGGCTCGTCAACAGAAATGTCACTGAATGGAATTTACCAGAATTTGACTATTACAACACACTACTGACTATGTAGGTTTTTTTCCTGCGTAACAAACGCACACTTACATTTGTGCACAATTGCGCACAATTTTGTGCATTAAAGCGTACAATATCAACTACATAAGGATGCGTAGGAATTTGTGCATGATTGCGCACACAATTTTGTACATAGCTTGCGCAGGAGAACATTTGGTACCAAACGCATGGATAAGTGCAATTTAGCGCATGAAATTTGTGCAATTTAGCGCATGAAATTGTGCGTGTTTAGCGCAGAAAAACCTACACAAAGGAACTTAGAAAATGTATGGTTCTTGTGAACTCTAACAACAAAGAGGCAATTAATAGTTATCTGTAAATACATACACTCTCATATTGTATGGTGTGCTCATACACAGCTTGACAGAATGAAGAATGTCCTTCCATAATTTAACAAAGTGACGAATGCCCATAACTAATGGAAAAAAATGACAAATGTCCATAAGGAACTGAGTGATATTCAGCCTATCACAACACTACATGTAGCTGTTTCTGTAGACAATCATGCATAATGACTCCTGCATTTCTGTATCCTATTCTCATCTAGATTGACTCACTGCAGGGGCAACAAATATTCCTTGATAGACTTTCCGAGGCACTGAAATCTTTGCAGCCAGTAACAGGTTTTAGAAACTAACATTCCTCCTCACCAGACTTCGATGAGGGTGGTGAACATTCAGTAGCAGGGTGCTTGGTTGGCTGGAGTGGAGAGGGCTGATCCTAAGTGATAACCTCCCTTTGACACCTTGTTGACTACTACACCGTAGTGTTTTCTGGGCCCTCAACAGGTGGGAGTAGGAGACACAGCCGGCATTTGAGACACGTTTATCACTGCTTCTTCCATTTTAATGATAGACAATGCCATGGGCACGTAGAAAAGTTCACAACACTTGAAAGTCCCAACGATACATTGAAAAACAACAATTGACTGGATACAATTGCAATTGCAATGCTAATCTGCAGTTCGTTCGTTCTCCTGGAGGGAGGGGAGTGGTAGGGAGGGGTGCCATCATCTGCTGCTATGAGAAATTGTGCGCCAATCTCCAATTTGCCGTTCTTGATTGATGCCACCGATTGATAAATTGGATAAATCATCTGGAGAAGAGCGTGGGTAAACATTTCCACTATCTTGATTTGTGCAGAGCATGCTCTCGCGCTTCTCATTGCTACGACTTCAACTCGTATTTGCATTTTCGCTGAACCCCAGTACCCCAGCAGAAGGCAAAAGTGGAAGGTGGATGTAAACATGCAAACCAAAACAACTGGTTGGCTGCTCACAGGCCTTGCCGGCAGAGGCATACAGCCCATGAATTCTTCTGTGATGAACTTGCACCTCCTTTCCCTACGCCAGATCAATTATTTTCTTATTGTTAACTAATCTTGTCACGCCATTCGCCGAGTCCTGGTTGTCTCTGTGGCCTTGTGGTCATGCTTGCCTATCTTATCACTTCTTTGACTTTGATAATTATTTCTTCCTAGTTTCTGAAGTACTGTGTTTTTATCTGACTATTTCTCTGTGAAGATTCTGCTCCTTCCTTTGTAGCACTCCTTCATTAAAAATTGACGACTTCCTCTTTTGCTTGCAATAGCTATATTATGTTATCAATAACCTAAACTCCAGCAGTAGCTGGCTATGACCTCTTTGTTTCTTTTGTCCTGTCTTATACATGGTTGCTTTGGTTTCAGGTAAATGACAATACGCAAGAAAATGGAATACTTCTTACTAAAAAGAACTATTCTCACCATGAATCACCAACAGCTTTCCTGTCAGCCGTTGCAGCTTTGGTCAATATCGCCCAGGTCTGAGCATGCCAGCAGGTGTATTAAAGTGAGTTATTTTCCTATTTATGCATAGAGTAGGCTGCCATAACCTTCACATGAGGCAGGGATCCGTTTCCATAGGTATCCATGCTTGTTTTATTGTTGCCAAGGCTGGGCATTGTATTCGAGTGAGGTCAGATTCAGAGCCGCATTAGTTATCATTGCTGTTTCTAGTGGGCAACTTGCATGGAATTCTGAATCAAATGAAATGTGTTTCATTTTGCATGATTTAAATGTTGATTCATGTCTGATTTGTTTAAGTGTTTTGGATTTCTGTTACAGCTCACCGTTAAATCGGCTATGACTTTTACTTGACTCAACCAATCTAATCTACAATTGACCGTATGTTGCCTCTGCTACCAAGAGAAATTCGAAGGAATCAAGGCTACTTCTGAGGTAAGATTGTCTAACTATTGTTGGACATAACTCCTCTTAGTTTTTGGTTTCTGTTCTCTTTACCCATTTGTTATTATTTTGCAGATGCTCCCAACACAGCAACAAACCGGAAAAAGGATATTAGGCAATAGCTAGTGTACTGTTGAAGTTCCTTCTCATGTGTTGGTGCTTTAAATTTTTGTAATAGTTACAGGTTATTAAAATAGGTCTTTCTCTGCTGAAGCCTTGTCTCTTTTATTTTTTTGTAAACAATTTGTCCATTAGAATTTAGTATTGTAACAAGAGACAAATAAGTATGTATATACAGAATTTATATAAATTCTAATTAAAAAGTAGAGAGTGTAATAACATAAGAATAGAACAAAAATAGAATACTTGGCAGAGGCACAAGTTAACTCTAATTGAATTCAATTTAAGCTTATCTTCTTCAGGAGCTCTTGCTCTGATGGAGTCACAATATCAGGCCTTGATTTCTGACCTTGTTCAAAGACATTAGCAAAGCAAGTAGCCAAGAATGGAAGGTGTTTCTCCCCCCGAGAGGATACTGCCATTGAACACGAAGTATGATTTGAAAAGCACGTCAATTGCTTTCATGATAGACCCACTTGCAATTTGCATTGCTTTTTGATCCAATACCAAAAAAAATCTTGTAATGTATTATACAGGGGGCTTTTCACCAGAATCAAATACGGCTGGATCGAGCTCTCACTTTCTTCAATTTTGTCACAGACAAATAAGTCTATGTCTTGTCCAAGCTGAAAGAAAACAATGACAATGTTTTGAAACTTTTCAAATGTATATGCAATTCAAAACAGGTATTTCATTAAAGTCAAGAGAAGATGAAAGGTACCTGCACCACTTCTATCAAATCCTTCAAATCAAAATTGAGGCTTTTGCTTTTAGGGTCTCCTTTAGACCTCTATCTCTAGGAAGACTGTTGGCCAAAGCACCAGTGCTTTTATCGAGTCTGCAAAGTATTTAAAAAGTTGTGTTCATTAGTAATAAAAATATTTGCCATTTAGACAATTCTCTGAGATGATTCCATTACCTCCAAGCAATTTACCTCCAAGCCTTCAACTGCCTATTTCTTTACATCCAACCATTTCACCTCCAAGGGAAGTGAGTTTTTACCTCCAAGGCTGTTACCTCCAAGACTTTTACCTCCAAGACATTTACCTCCAAGACTGTTACCTCCAAAGTATTTGCCTGTAATGCTTTGGGGGTTTTAGGTGACGCGAGAGAGGCGAATGCGATGAGCAGCTTCTCTGCAACTATTCTCACGATCAATCAAAGATGTGGTGGCTTTACCTATCCAAGCCAAGCGTAGTCTAACCTAACCTAGCCAAATGTAGTCTAACCTAACCTAGCCAAGCGTAGTCTAACCTAACCTAGCCAAATGTAGTCTAACCTAACCTATCCAAATGTAGTCTAACCTAACCTAGCCAAATGTAGTCTAACCTAACCTAGCCAAATGTAGTCTAACCTAACCTAGCCAAATGTAGTCTAACCTAACCTAGCCAAACGTAGTCTAACCTAACCTAGCCCAACGTAGGCACCCCAAATTACGAGTGTATGTTCAATCTGCGACCTACCCTGACCCCGGTCCACTGGAAAGTCTCTCGTGCTGTGTGTGACTTCAATGGTGACTCTGGCGACCGTCGTCACCCACGCGACCCACGCGCACTAGCCCATTGTGCTCTGACCGCGGTGCGAAGGAAGAAACGGTCGCCTTTGCACATTAGCGCGCCAAATGGACTGCGCGGCGCGTTGTTGTCGCCGTGTTGTTTGTGGGACCACCTTTGCATTACTCCTTTAACTTGAACTCGTGAACGCAAGAGCACCCTGACGGCCGAGGGCTAGGAGGCAACGCGCGTCGGACACGCCCGCCGACCGGGATCGCGAGCTGATTTGAATGAGACAATGCTTTCCTAGCTATTGCAGTTTGTCTCACGCTGGCAAGCCCCTTGGGGAAGGCGGCTTGGCCACGCCGCCGTCGTCGTCCTCTTAGCGGCGAAGGTTCGGGTCGGGCCCAGTGGACCAGAAGACCGGTGGAGGCGGCCAAAATTCTCGACGCTTTAAGAGCTCCAGAGTCACTAAACAGGACTCGAACCGTACGTGGGGCCTCACTAATGGATTCCTCGCTCGGAGAGCAACTCATTGGAGGGGTCACACGTTCGAGTCCCATAAAGCGACCCTAGCTCAAAACGCTTCTGGGATTTCAGCCGCCTCCGCTGGTCTTCTGGTCCACTGTACGAAGACGGCCGAAGGTGGCCGAAGGCGCCCGAAGGCCGGCGCGTTACGTCACGCCCGATCGGCTTCGCCTTGGTTCGCCTCTTCGTCTTCGACCAAGAAACGAAATTCGGCCGGGCCGGGCTTCGCCATGGCTTCGGTGAGGCTTGGCCGGCCGTGCTGGCATTGCCGGTGTGGGTACGACCTTTCCTTTCCGTACGAGTGGGCATGTGTGACTGGCACTGGCACACTGGGTGACTGGACGAGCGCCTGCGAGCCCGAGGGTAGGCAGCCCGCCCGACGCGGAGAGCGCCCGCGCGGTAGGCAGTCCCGCAACGCTCGCGTGTGTGACGGGCCTCGCGCAGGCGGCCTGGATCGCGTGCGTGAGTGCCAGCCGCGCGGGCCCTATTCCGCGTGCAGGTGTCCGAGTCCACGATGACGGCGTCCACCGGCAGGGCGGCGCGGCGACGCGTCAGATCGAGTCCCCCCGCAGTCGCACTGAATCAGGTACGCTGCGTCTGGTCCCGTCGCCGCCACCGCGCTCCGCGAGCTCACACTGTCTCCTCCACCTGCCACTCTCATTAGCGCGGTCTCTGTCGCACTCACGGCGCATCTCGCATGGGGCGCGAGAGAGACCGAGTGACAAAAGGCCCCGCGGCGACCGGGTGCTAAATTTGGCCGATAAGGGTGCGCGGCCCGGCCGGCGAAAGATGTTTTTCGTAGTGGCGCTGGCAGGCGGCGCTTGCATGCGACCGCGGAGATGTTGTGCCACCAGCGTGCCGAAGGCCATGCCGTGTCCGAGTTCGCGCCGGGTCCGATGTATGTGTGGGGGCCTACTCGTCCTCCTCCAGGATGGGCCAGTTCATCTCACAATCCAGAGCGTCGAAGTCCAGGTCTGGCAGTCCGTCGTCCCCGCTGACCCACGCCCCGTTGAAGGGCGACGGTGGCAGGGCGGGGTCCGGGCCCACCGCCGTGACTAGGGCCTTTAGCTCCTCGGTGAAGGAGCGTGCCTCTCCGTCCTGCTCCGTTTTGGGGACTCTGCAACCGCTGTAAGTACCGCCGATGGCTGTCCGGTGAAGTCCCTCCGGTGGCTCGGCGCGTTCCTGCGCCTCACCGGCTGCGGCTCCTCGCCTGCCGCCTCGTCCTGTGCAGGCGGCGACGCGTCGCTCCCACCCTGCGCCGACGGGGCGCGTCCGGCGCTGACCTCGGTGACCTCGGCCGGCCGGGGGTCCTCGGGTTGTATGTGTAAGTTCAGTGCCGGTCTGATGAAGTGCATAGTGCGTCCGCGATCAAGGGTAATGCACCTTATCTATGCTGTTTATAAGACCTCGCTCGTACAAGATGGCTCATCAGCAGCTCCGCACTCGAACGGAGGCTTGTTACGGTCCTTCGACTTCGCGGGCGTGATGAAGCTCCCGTCGTGCGGTGCGCGGGAGGGCCAGGGTGGGTGGGTGAGTGAGTCAAAGGTGTTTTTCCGCTATGCTTCCTTGTGTCCTTGCACAGGCGGTGAGCAGCTCGTCGGCACTGGTGTGCTGCTTCACCTTGCACTCGGCACAGGTGCACGCATGCACTGTTTTGATGCACATGCAACGTGCGAAATGAAACATGCACTACACATCGCACAAATTTGTGAGCAAAATTGCACGATTTTCTGCATACCCGCGCAGAAAATCGTGCATTGCCGCGCACAGACTCGTGCGTTGCAAAGTGCACGTTTCATCTCGTGCATTAAGCGCGCAGAAAAACCCACATAGTAGACGCCCTAGCACTCACTAGCAGGAGGGGAGAAGGTGGAGGGGAAAGTACATCCCGCAGCGGCTTTTGAAGCGTAGACTGTCTTTGGCTGTCTTTCGTTTCGAACGCCGCGAGCAGAGAAAGAGCCCCCCCCTGTCGCATTCACTCTAAAATCCTTGCGTTGTATTCTCCGGCATTGTACTACGAACTCTCTTACAAACTATTTTCTTCGCGTTGCACACTGTTACTTTGCAACTAGCAAAGGAAATGCTTTGCAACGGTTTCTTTTTGTCTTTCGCGACTACCGAACAATTTTTGCAACGCGAAGAAAAGAGTTTTCAAGGGTGTTTGTAATACAAAGTTGGAGAATACACTGGTAAAACAGAGGCATAAAAACTGCGCCCATTAAGGGCGTAATGAGTTAATGCCTTTGGGAGGGCACTAATACTTTGCATAGAAGTCCTATGCCTATTCACGCTCCTCTCGGGGCATAGTTTTTATTCCTTTGTTTTACCAGAGTACAGTGAAGTACTTTTGTTGGCAAGCTTTCAAGAGTGTCCCTGCCACTTCGTTCGGCTTTCGTGTGACTGCATTCCGCCACTCTCACTGCAACTGCTTTGTCGTTCTCCCGCCTAAAAGTGCTGCTCATTGTTCCAGGTGTGCTGGCTCTAGGAAGCCCATCTTCCACAGCGCAGCTAGCATCGCGTGGCCGCGTGGAGTGCGAGTGCCGCCCCGCCGCACAGGACGCTCCTCACGAGTAGGCAGCCCTTCGGACGGGCCCGGGAGACTTGCATTCACCGACGCGGCCATGTCTGCTTGCTGTTACGACGCTGTGGATAGCAAGTTGTGGCTACACTAGACAGCCATGAACGAACCGATTGCCGGTCATCCGCACTGATGACTTGGAGGCCTGTAAGCGCCTGTGAGGTAGGCAATCGATCCGTCCCGCAACACACCTGTGTGGAGACGGTGGCCGACCTTGCCTCCGTCGTACACAGGTCGCAGCCGCTCATTGTTCCAGGTTCCATCCGCAGGCTCCAGGAGGCCGGAGGCCCATCGTCCGCAACACAGCGAGCATCACATGGTGTGAAGTTTGGGCACCGCCCCTTGCAAGTAGGCAGCCCTTCCGACGTGTGGCATTCCCCCGCAGCTGTTCGACCAGCGCAAGCATAACACCGCCCAACTCCATGGACGTCTGCTCTGGTCAAATTCGTTACTTCCCTCCCCACTGTGCGCTGCAAGGACTCAGAGCACGGTGGGCCAGAAGACCGGCGCATGCGGCCAAAACACTAGACGCGTTTTGAGCTCTAGAGTCGCTAAATGGGACTCGAGCCGATCGCGTGATCTCACCCATGGATTTCTCGTTCGCAGAGCAATCCATTGGTGGGGCCACACTTTCGGTTCGAGTCCCATTCAGCGACTCTGGAGCTCAAAATCCGTCCGGAATTTTGACCGCACTCACCGGTCTTCTGGCCCACTGTGCAGCGGTCCCGCAAGTGGCCCTGGGGCTACACACCACGCCAAGGTATGATCAATAATCCCCTGTGCGATAGGCCTGCTGCTCGCAGTGACTTGGTAGTAATTGAATTCCTCATCCCATTTCAGGCTGACCTTTGTGGGCCATCACTGAATGAGTCCTGCTGCTGACTCACCACCCTCAACTGGTTGGGGTTTTACCTGAGTCGCATAGTCGCCTTGGTCCTCGCAACCGTTCCTGTTTTTTTAACCAAAACTAAGCCTACAAGGATGTCATCCTACAAGGTGTTCCTTATGTGTGGGCCAGGCTTCAGTCTGTGCTGTGGTTCGCAAACTGATTCCGAAGTTGTTGTGGTAGTCAAGGGAGCGATGCTGTTCCTCTTTCTGGAGTAAGCACATTGTAGACTTATTTATTTTTAGGACACAGATTTATGGTGTGATCATGTGATTCTTGAAAGAAACCAGTAGTGATATAATTCCTGTCAACATTTCGTGTAATCTACTTAGAAAAGAAAAGCTCGAGTTTCACTATAGCCGCTTATCCTCTCTGTCATCATTTCTCAGCTGAATCTTTGAACGGAGAGGCCTGAGGAATGAAGAGCCTACTTCGGCATTTGGAGAGTTTACAAGAGTTTAATAAATTCACACTACTTTCCTGAGGTAGTCCTGTGATGTCCTATCTCACTTTGCTTAAATTTTTCTCGCTCATTCTAACTTTCTCTACCTTCATCACAAATCATTCGAAATAAACAGAACTGTTGGCAGTTGCTGTTGTTGAGTAAGGGTAATTTAAAATTGAGGAAAAATAAACAGGATAGTACAACAAAGTGGTTCCATACATGTGTTTATTTCTACAATAATCTTGATCCATACAAGCTACCGACATATAATGAAAAGATGTTTAAGAGGTATTCTAGTCTCTGACTCGTCTTGAAAATATCAATGAGGACATTGTTGACTTAAGCAGAACAACAGCCCATAAAACAGCCTCTCATCCTTCTCCCTTAAAAGGAATTTTAATCAGGACAAGAACAAAACACAGTTGCGAAAAATGACTTCTAGAACGGTGAAAATATTCTGAGAGCCAGGCCAACAGGGCATCATCACTAAAAGGCAGAACTCAAAGCTGATCAATGTTGATGTGATGTGTGTAAACCAATAATCTGCAATCAGAAATACAGCAACATCAGTACAAAGGCCACAATGCTCCCAATAAAGGACATTGAACAATAGCACCAAACCACCAAAAAAAGTAGCACACAAGATATACAGAGTCCTTCTTACCTCATCTCCTTGTAAATGACACCCTCGAGAAAGTAACCAGACTGGAAAGTGGGCCCCCAGATGTAGCAACTGATCTCCACATAAAACACAGAAAGAAAAAAAAAGACAGCAAAAAAAAAACAGAACAAACAAAACAGAAGACCGCAATTTTCATTGGTAAAGGACATAACAACAGAGAGGATCACAGGACCAGAGGGACAGCAGCAACCAACTGAAAAACAAAAATCAGGGTAAACTCTGAAGGTGGAGAAATTCTTATCAGCAGCAATGAGAATTCCAGCCCCCAAAAAGGAAAAATAAAGTTTACAGGGCAGTGGTAGGAAGCTATGGAACAATAATCTACTCCAGTCAAATTTACTACTGTGAAACAATAACATATTAGAAAAGAAAACAAGCTGCATATGCCATGACTGCAGTGTCACTTGGGTAAAGTGCAGTTAAAAAGTAGCTAGGGACAAGCTTGCAAGATACATGAAGTCTGGCCTAAGCAGCTCTCAGACAGTTCAGAAAATACCCAAGTCGCATTCCAAACCAGCCGCTGGCCTTCCAAAGCTCCCAGCAGAAACAAATCTTTCAAGGCGGCCACTGATTTAGCTCACACCACCACAAGTGTCCGGCCTTTAAAGCTCCCAGACAGAGAGAACAGTTGGATACATCTCACTTGGGATGCTGGGCTGGTCCAGGCTGGCCCAACATTCAACGACACTCAAGGCGGCCACTACATCAGCTCACACCATAAGCAAAGTCTGGCCTAAGCAGCTCTCAGACAGTTCAGAAAATACCCAAGTCGCATTCCAAACCAGCCGCCGGCCTTCCAAAGCTCCCAGCGGAAACAAATCTTTCAAGGCGGCCACTGATTTAGCTCACACCACCACAAGTGTCCGGCCTTTAAAGCTCCCAGACAGAGAGAACAGTTGGATACATCTCACTTGGGATGCTGGGCTCAGGCTGGCCCAACATTCAACGACATTCAAGGCGGCCACTACATCAGCTCACACCATAAGCAAAGTCTGGCCTAAGCAGCTCTCAGACAGTTCAGAAAATACCCAAGTCGCATTCCAAACCAGCCGCCGGCCTTCCAAAGCTCCCAGCGGAAACAAATCTTTCAAGGCGGCCACTGATTTAGCTCACACCACCACAAGTGTCCGGCCTTTAAAGCTCCCAGACAGAGAGAACAGTTGGATACATCTCACTTGGGATGCTGGGCTCAGGCTGGCCCAACATTCAACGACATTCAAGGCGGCCACTTCATCAGCTCACACCATAAGCAAAGTCTGGCCTAAGCAGCTCTCAGACAGTTCAGAAAATACCCAAGTCGCATTCCAAACCAGCCGCCGGCCTTCCAAAGCTCCCAGCGGAAACAAATCTTTCAAGGCGGCCACTGATTTAGCTCACACCACCACAAGTGTCCGGCCTTTAAAGCTCCCAGACAGAGAGAACAGTTGGATACATCTCACTTGGGATGCTGGGCTCAGGCTGGCCCAACATTCAACGACATTCAAGGCGGCCACTACATCAGCTCACACCATAAGCAAAGTCTGGCCTAAGCAGCTCTCAGACAGTTCGGAAAATACCCAAGTCGCATTCCAAACCAGCCGCCGGCCTTCCAAAGCTCCCAGCGGAAACAAATCTTTCAAGGCGGCCACTGATTTAGCTCACACCACCACAAGTGTCCGGCCTTTAAAGCTCCCAGACAGAGAGAACAGTTGAATACATCTCACTTGGGATGCTGGGCTCAGGCTGGCCCAACATTCAACGACATTCAAGGCGGCCACTTCATCAGCTCACACCATAAGCAAAGTCTGGCCTAAGCAGCTCTCAGACAGAAACTTGATTTCTTGCACTCCACAACGGAACTTAATAGATGTTTGAGGTGCAGATGTTGAAGAGCCCCTTGAACTAATTTTGAAGTCACCTAGAAATGCAATGTTGACTGAACAAAAGCATTTCCGGAACACATTATTCATATCACTCACCGGGCATAGTTTGAATGATGTGGCAATGTTCAGAACGATGATCCCAGCAGTAAGAATTAGGGGTTCCCTTTTCAAACTGTAAAATGTAAGAAAGAACTTATCCGAATGACAGCATGAACGAACTGATATGATGAAAACGGACTGCGGCCTGTACTAACCTCAAATGGAGCTCCAACGACAAAGAGCGTCAACGGTTCTTCTAGGTCCCGAATCCAAAACGTAGCATTTGCTGGCTCCTGCTCGTAGTTATCTGCTCCACAACTGTAATAAACGAAATTATTTTTAACCAATGTTGTTTTTCGATAATGCAAACGGAAGACGACACCAAGTCGAAGGCACCGGAATAATTACGACCACTGTCAAAAATTGAATGGACTACGAAATGACGAAGAAACTTGAAGCAAGATGTAGGGAAATTCTCACCTTAGACCATAAGAACATAATTCTTACTGAACTGTAGAATCTTGACAAGTTCTAGCCGTTCGAAGGGCGGCAGGAAGTTAGGCTCTTGCCACTCTGGCACCGATCGTTCCGAGTCAAAGCCCGGAACTTCCACCAACGCGGTGAAAGAATTACGTTAGGCACAGTAATCAAATAATGAAATGCCCAGCGTAAACTTAACTCAGAGACTTGAGTCCTTTCCACAATTCCATTTCAACCGGTCATTTGGCCGTTACGAACGAGACAATTTGAACACGAAGCACACCGCCTTGCGCATGCGCGTCAGCGCCGCTTCCTCCCTGCGCATAACGAAACGAAAACAAGTGAGAGTGCGCCCAAAATGCAGTCTGCTGTTCTGCTCAGATCAAAACAAGCACCCTCTTCAAGTCGTGGAGAATCTAGGCAGGTTCAATGAGAAATATCTATTTGTTCGTATGTTTTATGAATACAATTGGACCGTCGTTATTGGCGGAAACTGTCCAAGTACGCAGCTAGTGTCGGTGCATTGAAGGGGAGGCGGCACGCAATCGCATGCTTTTTAACCTCCTGTATCTTGCTGCATCAGGTACTTACACCAGGAGGGACTCGACCAATCAAATATAATTTTAATCGTAACAGTTCTGACAATTTTCACTTATGTTCCAGCGATATGTCATGCTGTGAACGCAGTTCGGATCCTCCAATTGATCAACCTGTCCCTAGTGGTTCTGCATCAGCTGTGTTCTCTCTCATCAAGCAGGAGTTCAGTGAAGGCTTGAATTCTGTTAAAGACGAATTTCTTCATGACCATCAGAGCCCTCAAGTATCGATTTCCATCAAAGAAGAATTGAGTGATACAACTCATTCATGGGAGAATTTACAACAGCAAGTGCCATGTGAGAGTTGGTTGTCAAGAAACTGCTGTGGTTCGTTACCAAATCACTTTGATGAGGTTTGTCACTTTATTCCTTTTGCAGCATTTGCTTTGTTCATAAAGTACCCCCCTAAATCCTTATTACTTTCATTTTTTGCAGGTGGAATCTACAGATTTAAAAGAAGATCTTTCAAAAGTAAAATTTGGTGAAGGTCCACCCAATGAAGAATTTGAACTACTGTGGGATAGTTTTCTGCAAAAGTGCTTCAGTTTTATCAAGGGCAGTCTTGCTTTCAATACTGAGCCTCCAAAGTATCCCTGTCATTGTTCAATGATGTTGCTTGTGGAATGCCCCAAATGTTGGCAATGCTTCAAAGGTACAGCTGACCGTCTGAAACGGTTAGTCTCTCATGTCATGAAATGTCACAGTCAAGATGCACCTGCAGTACTTGAAGGAATTTCTAAGCGCTACTACCCTATAGTGCCTTCAATGCAACATTGTCTGAGTGGAAACAGACCTTGACTCTCAATCCCTTCGTAGCACAAGTGTCAGTCAGTATTTGTATCCATGATTCATTTATTTATTTTAATATTTATGGTATGATTTGATTTAGTAGTTTCTGTAAGTGCAGAAGCATTCAATATGGGCAAACATTGATTTATTTTTCTTTATTGTGCCTACTGTTGGTCCACCTTGTCGTATCATTGTCTGATGTCATCCACAACTATCGTTGCCTTTTCTTTCTTAAGACAGACTTTGATATCCTTAATTATCTGTTACGAGTCTTGTTTTGAATGAACTTTCTCGACCATCTCATTGGTTCATTGATGCATCCTTCACTATCTCAATTTGCCAAGTTTGTGGAGGATTGAAAGACTCTCAAGTTTTGTTTTCATCAGTTTAAAACGATTCAGCTTGCACCTGACCAATGGCCGTCCTTGAAAACCCAACAGCACTCATGCTGCTTTGATGTAACTCGGTGAGAATAGTGGACTGGGGTCACAAAGATGTGCTTGTTTGTAAGTATTGATCGATTCTTTACTCAGCTGTAAGAATCATTTCCTTTCCTCAAAATTAGCTTGCTATCAAAGTTGCCGGGTGTTTATTTTGCATTCTGTTTGCTGGCTGGTAACAATGATGCAATGTTACTGTCTCATACACAAGTTTTCCAAACTGGAACAAACTTTTACATCCAATCCCTTTCGCTTGTATAAATTCGACTCAAGTTACACTCTACTTCCAGTGAAACTATGTTTGCATTCCAAATCAGAAATCTGCACCTCTTTTAAAGAATGAAGGACTGAAAGAAAGCAATGATTGAATCTTACATTGAATGTATGTCGTCTTTGTTTCAGGTCAAAGATGTTCCACCATTTGTTAACTCCTGCGGATGAAATGAACGGTGCCTATTCTGTGCGATGGTTGTTTCTGCACAGCTGCTTCCATAGAATCTGTTCTGATCCATTTGACGTCTGACAAAGATCATTCTTGCTCTCCAGTCTCTGGTACGCTTCCCTCGCCCTGTTTGAGTTCCTGCTCTTATCTTGATCATGATTTCTCATCTGTTTATTTATCTCCTCACAGACTGCCAATTTTTTAGCAAATTTGGTGGCACCAGGATATGGTTTTGGCTGCAGTACATTTGACAAGAGTAGATTGTACCCAGCACAGCTACATCCATCAGGTCAGCAGTCAACTCTGTGAAACCTCACCTGACCCCAAGATCCCAGTCTGGAATCGAAAGATGGATTTCTATTGCCAAGCTGGGACCAACTCTTACAGAAAGTAATTACCCTTTATTTTAAATGCTGGACCATTCATGTGATTTGATTACCTGTGAATAGCCTTGGGAAATTGTGTTGACTATTTGCAGGTGTACTGGCAGTCAGGAATACCTGTGAATATACTCTCCCATTCCCATGGTGTAGTTTTGTCTGTGGCAACTCAATATTCCATTTGTTGCATTTGCTCACAATATGAGTGATTTAAAGTGGAGAATTGATGCAAAAAGGGCAGAAGTCGATGTAACAGAAAATTCCCTCAGAAATTTTACCGATTTCCTTAATCTGATAGAGGAATGTGGCCAAGTTAAGGAGAAGGGTGCAATCAAGGTTCTTTGAGTGTTTGATTATGTCTTTTCAATTTGAAGCAGTTTGAAACATATCTTTTTTTTCTTTTACATTTTAGATTTGCCTGCCGGAAAGTTTTGTCCGAAAAACATCTTTCAGTGACCTCTTGAGCGGCCTTAAGTTAGACCAAGCAGCCCTACAAATGCAACTCTTCTACAGACCTGATAACCTGGTATTTGGATATAAGAGCGTTGATCCTCTTGTGGAAGATGTGTCTGTTTTCTTGAGCAAGGCGAATGATCCTGCTGCTTACTCTGCAGATTCTTGCTGGTGAGCTGTGGCCCATTGTAATAATAATAATAAGAATAGCCAATCGTATTCACTTACCTTGTTTGAACTTGCTTTTTCTTTGTCACTGACAGCTCCTCCATGCTTGCAGTACTGGGTGAGGATGCACTTTTTCATCATTACTGGAAAGTTCTTAATGCTTATGCAGGAAATGCCTTGAATCGGAAGGACAATATCATTGAAGTGGTGGAGAAGCTGGTGGGTCAAAGAGATAACGTCCTTGCACAGCATCATGACATGAAGTCAAATGGTCAAGATATTTCGTCTTATTCCGAGACAGAACCGATTCTTCATAGCTATCCAATAGGACTTAGCCACAGACTATGCATTGATTGCGATATCAGTAGATCTCTGGAAAGCGATGACCAACATGCTGCCATTCAGCACAATGAGAGAAGAGAGGATACAATATTGTATGGTGCTGATATTAAGTTTAGTGGTGCACCTGTTGAGATCTTTAGTGGTTTCTCTCTTTCCAAATTGAACTCCATCTTAAATTTGCCTACTGTGAATCACCCTGCATTCTCTAGTTCTTCCTTTTATGTTGGGTCTACTCATTCTTCATTTGTTGCCCATATTGAACATGCATCTCTGTGGAGCATTAATTTCCTCCATTATGGACACTGCAAAGTGTGGTAAGCTTGTATTATACTTTTTGGGCTAATCAGAGCACTCTGTTATGAATTGTCACTGAATAAAGGTGCATTGTTGGCACAAAAATAGTGACAGGATTAATCTTATAAAATTGATTTAAGTTTAATGGATGTAAACTTACCCCCTTTTTGTCATTACATAAGAACAAAACTAATTGATTCCTTTTCTTTTACTCCTAGGTATGTGATACCTCCAAGGTATGTTGGCCTCGTTGATTTCTATCTTTCACAAATGCGGCTGGATCTTAGTCACAAGGCATGCCGTAATATTTTAGGGCACAAACATGTCATGCTGACACAGCATTTTTTGGTTGAATACAGCATTCCTCATTCAAAGGTACGCCCAAATTATCATTATCATAAATCAATCAAAAACCACCTCGTGTTAGTATTTCCAAAGGTGTCTTTGTCCCTTTTTGTGTAATCAATGAGAGAAGCAACACCTCATGTACGTCAATCCCACAGATCATACAAAAACCTGGTGAATTTGTGATTCTTCACCCCAATGCCATTCATTTTGGCTTCAATATGGGGAGCAATATTTCAGAGGCCGTTAACTTTGCTACAGTATCATGGATTCCTTATGGATTGACATCACCAAGATGTGCATGTTTGTAAGTTATGATTTCTGTTTCTTGAGTAGATTTCACTTCATAACCTGTACCATTAACTTACTTATGTATTTGTTTTCCTTCCCAGGGGATCTGAACAAATGCATTTAGACATGACTCCTTTCCTCTTAGCCTTTCAACCTGAACAATTGAAGACTTATTTGGAGGGTGAAAGTCTGCTCACCCCTGACCAGCACCCATTTTCACTTTCCTGCGGAAAATTGTCAGATCTAAGTTCTTTCAACAAGAATGGAAAGAAACAGGTATATCACCAATTTTATTTAACAAGTTTTACATTACAATTTTGCAGCAAGGCATTGGTTTACCAAATCTCTCCCGCTCAACTGTTGCTGAAGTGGGTATCGAGAATAGAAGCTATTCTGTAACCAGCAAAATTAAATTGGTTCTATGCAGATTTTATCTTAAGATGTGTGTCATTTCTTAGAGGTACACTTTACTACAAAAGAATATTAATTTTTAAATGCACTAATTGTTGTGTGGTTAAATTTGGTCTTAAATCATGTTATCAAATTCAATTTGATGAGTGTCAAACAAGTGCCCCTGGATCCACGCAATAAAGTAACAATATCTTAAAGATAATTTTATTCAAATCGAAGCTTCTGCAAGAAAATTCTTTGAGTTGCACAAAATCTGTTGCCTTATTTTTTTTAAATTGATTTTGTTGTCTTTGTTTTCAGGTATCTGTCAAAACTGTTTTGCCATGTATCAGCTCCAAAGAAACTCACCATGAAGGAAAAATGATAAAAACAGAACTGAATGTGGCACGTAAAACTATGTTACAGTGCCCCGCTTGTATCCGGTCTTACAAAGGTGGCATGGGTCGTCTAAATCGATTACTGACGCACATCAAAAGGCACCACTCTGCCCATGCAGAGAAACTTGAACAGATGATCTTGAAAAGGTATAAAAAGAAAGAACCAAAACAAAAACAAAATCAATGTCCAATTTGTTACAAACATCTATCTGGTTCAGCCTTTCACTTAAATGACCATATACGTAGAATGCATCATAAAGATCGACAATGAACAGTACTTGGATAACTTAGTTGTGAGGGGAAGGCCTGTTGCTTGGAATTTTGGCTAGCTCTGTCAGGATGCACACAAAATCCTGTTGGATTTACATTTATCTTGGCCAATATAATATAGCTCAGCCTTTATATAAAGCTTGCCCTATTTAGCCTGGCCCTAATATATATATTTATATATATGTCTGTGGATTTGCTCATGTAGCTTTGCCTACATGGCTCCTTACATTTAATGGGGCCTTTCAGGCTTGGTCTGTTTGTCATGGTTTAAGGTTTAAGGATGGACGTTCAACCAACGGCTCTGTCAAGCATGAGCCTCTCACTGTTACTTAGTGAGGTTGATGGGCAACACAGGGGGCCCTTAGTCCGCAGAGTATGGCTCCGAACAGTAGTATGACAATAAAAACCTTTAGTAAACTAAAGGTATGGGGGAGGGAGAATGTCAAACGTTCTAAATCCCCAGCAGGTTGCATTGCTTTGCTCAAAAAAAAGTCAGCTCTGCACTGTAGAGAAATTGATCCAGGAAGCGGAAGAAGGGGATAACTCAATTTTGGCCATTTTTCAGGAGAAACAAAAACCTGTTAGCAGGGAAAACTAAAACAAAACAAATGAATGTTGCAGATGTTAATAATTTCAAAAAGCATTAGTAAAATTTTGGGAAAAAATCAAAAGTGTAAGGTCACTCCGTAGAGGATTTCTGCGACTTATCACTTTCCGTTGAAATGGAAAACAGAGTCAGCTCACCTTATATTTCCTAAACAAAGTGGAATTTGGAGACAAGTCAAGTGGAACAATAGTCTACATAAAGTGTATGTTACTCTGGTGTATTTTTTGGACTTAGCTCTTTTTTCCAAATTGAAATTTAAAATTAAGGGGGGGTTAAGTTGAGTTGATTCTTTTTACACTAGATTCATAAAAACACAAGTTGAGTTATATCCTTTTGCCAATTTGTTAAACGGACTCATATAGACTAAGGTTGAGTTATCTCCATTTTCTAATGAAATTTAGACTGTAAAAGGGGTTAAGTTGAGTTATACCCTTTTTCCATGTGGATTTTCTCCAAAACTGCTTGGAATTCAGTCAAATAATTTGGTGTAATGATGTAAACCATTCTAAGGCACAATAATAAAATAAAAACTCAATTTGGGGATAAGTCAAGTTATTCCCTTCTTCCGCTTCCTGGATCAATTACATGTAACGAATCACCTGGTATATATATATGTCTGTGGATTTGCTCCAGGCTTGGTCTGTTTGTCATGGCCCATGTATGAATATAGCAGTAGTATAACAATAAAAACCTTTAGTAAACTAAAGGTATGGGGGAGAGAGAATGTCAAACGTTCTAAATCCCCAGCAGGTTGCATTGCTTTGCTCAAAAAAAAGTCAGCTCTGCACTGTAGAGAAATTACATGTAACGAATCACCTCTCTTTAATTTGGTACAAGTATACAGTGCTTCACCAGACGATGTTGCTGATGTAGAATTGATGCATCACTGCAGCAGTGATAGAGAGTTGTGGAAAATGAATTGTTTGTTTTTGTGATCCCTTTTTAGGTATGCCATTGTTAATTACTATCTCACTGTTGACTATGCACACTTTTGTAAATTTAAGTTCGGAAATAGAGTATTGTATGTAACATAAAATGTACATTTTTGAATAAATTGCCGTGCCTGATATTTTTGTTACCTCGTGCCATGGGAATCACCTTCCAACAACATCTAGAAAGCAAATGAAACTTGCCCTTCAGCCCCAAGTCTTGTGTTTAGAATTCTAAACTACGCACAGATTCCCTTCATAAGAAGGATTGACTCTAAGACCCCATCCTAGGTCAGCGTCATAATAGACTTCAAAGTATAAGGAGGCCCGCAACCACATCCTCTTCACCATTTCTGCCAGTTTGTCAAACCTCGAAGTTTTCATGGGTGTACCCCATTCTTTATTAGGCTTAGCACTGCAGGTCCTTTTAGGGAGATGGAGGTAGTCATGAGCCAAATGGAAATCTAACTTCCAAAGGGAATCTAATTGGTCTGAGCTGAGTTTAACTCCCACCTGAAACACAGGGTGAATCCCACACTAGAATATGAGTAGCATTGATGTGAAAGCCTCTTCATGCTTTGTAAGAAATCCAGGGTAAAAGAAAGAATGTAGTACGTAATGTATAGGTCAAGATAAGTTTTAATGTAAAAAAAACAAACAATGATTCATCTTCATTTAAAAATGAGAATTCTCATTATGCTTAGCATAATCAATCACAAAAATATTTACGAAGGATAAAAATGAACAACATAGAATAAACTCTCCTAAAGGGGAATCTTTGTTAGGAACAGAATTCTCATTATTCTTTAGCAAAATCAATCACAAAAAAAAATGAACAAAGGATAAAAATGAACACAGTTAGTTCTAATGAAATCACTCTTCATCAGAAGAATCTAAGTCACTAGGGACAATAATGATGTCTTTTTCGTCCCTGCAATGGGGGCAAGTTGTCGCTACTTTCAGCCATTCCGCAAGACAAAACCAGCACATGAACACAAGGCATTCTTCGCATTGATAACGTTTACGGTGAACCTTTTCTAGACAAACAGGGCATGGGTCTTCCGGGTTACCCTAAAAAGTTTAAGATCTTAGCATCATGCACCAAAATCCACAATCCAAACATTGATGCCCATAATAGATATAGAATTATTAAGATAGCTACCTGTCCAGGAGAGTTGTTGTCATCATTGGTTTCAGCATTGTCCTTGTTGTCAGTGCAGTCATCAGCTGATTCTGCAATTAAAAAATATAAATTACAAAGTCATGTTCCTACATGTACCAGCCTGACGTGAAATATTTTCTGATCCCTGTGAATAAGTCACGTAAACAACAAACTGAAAACCATCTCATAAAATACATAGCAATCAATGTAAGGCTATGGCCTGATAATTAACAAATTCACATTATTAGAGTTACACTATTGGAATGAAATTAACAATTTATTGAAATGTATGGACAAATACAATTTCAACCCAAGCCTTACCTTGATTAAAAAGCTTTGACAGCTCTTCGCCATGTCTTGAGAACAAGGGAGGTAATTGTTTAAAGCCATTTGGCAACAAAACTTTTGCCCGCTTAAGACAACGTAGCTCATCATCAGCATCCTCAGAGGTGTTTGCTCTTTGGTAAGCATTAACTAGCTGACGTGAACAACGCATGCTTATGTCCTCATCATCCGACTCATCAGAACTATCTGAAAAAATTTATATTGAGAAGCAATATAGCTCACCTACAGGTCATCTGGATTGGAAACATCACTGAAAGCATCTGCATTCAAAGCAAAGTAGTGTTAAATACACTCCAAAAGAAAATTCAACAAGAGATACTTGATGAAAATGGAGAAATAAAGAGAAATGATCCATGATGGAGCTGAGTTGTGAGAGATTGCAAAACAAAATGACTACTTTAAGTCTTTCTAAAAAAAAACCATTAAATTATTTCTTGAAGGCTAAGTGTCTGAATCAAAGTGCTCATCTGAATTGAGTACATTATTTGAGGCCCTTGCTATATGAGCCACCCCACAAAAAAGATAAGAAAACTCTAAAACTCTGATTGCAGGTGCCTGATTTAATGTTAACAAAACTCTGAAGTCAACGACATCTTTCACCTTTGGAGATCTACAGTTTTGATCTATCATGTGTAAAAGTATAGAAATACATAACCAAATCTGGCATGCAGAAACACTTACCTTCATCAATCACCACCTTGGACCTGCTAGTCTTCTTACGCTGAGATATCCTGGGGCCAGACCCTTCAGGAATTGCAGGTACTTTAGATGCGTAGTAAGCATTGGCCTTCTCCCTCAAGGAGTCAACCTCTGATTCTGATGCCTTTCCTTTTTTGGCAGGCACAACTGCTTTCTTTGAAGGAGGAGCGGGGGCTGCTTTCTTAGCACGAACTGGCTTCTTAGACACAGCAGCTGGCCTGTTTGGAGGTGCTCTCTTGGTGTTTGTAGTCTTGCCTGAAAAATTAAGAAAGAAAGTCAGAAACAATTCATGTACCAACAAATGATGAAATAAAGTCACTTTAATGCAACGCAACAACACAAAATAACATACCACTGGTACTGAGTTTTCCTTCGTCAATATCATCAGGCTAAAACAAAAGAAAGCAAATGATCATTAAGTACAAACAAAAAATTTGATAATTGATAATAGTACGCATACCTTATTCTTATTAGGGAGGTAAACAGCGCCACAGTTCTTGCTATTCCCCATGGTAAAAGCGACTTTTGGAGCATCCTCAAAATCAGTATCATCATCATTATCATCAAAGGAACCATTACGTTCTATGTCAAGAGATCCCTGGTCCTCACTAATGATCAAAGGCTCCTAATACAGTAACAAAAAAAAACCAAAAAAAAAAACTGAATTGCCAAAAAATTCAAGTTCAGGCTATTAAAAAAGGAAGGCATGAAAATTAAACCAGAGCAAATGTCTACAAACAGAAATTACCGAGGGAACACACGAGGGTGAGTCATCAGAATTACTGGCATCAGATGCAGTCTCAGCCTGACTAGACATCCGTTCTCTGGGAGCTGATTGATCCCTATCAATGGCAGTCTTAAAACGACGAGACTTCCATTCATTGTGTCCTAATGCAGCCGTGTCAGATGCAGTCTCAA